CACAGACGGACACAATACAGAAGCCTGATGATGGCAGATGAGATTCTGCTGAAACGTTGCTACAACTTTAAAAGAACAACTACAATGACGTGGGAAAATACCCGAACCAAGCCGAACACCATATATATATATATGCACTGAAAGATTACATATGCATATCTCTTTTATTCCAATCCTATTTTAAATTGTTTTTATTGGATTTTAGTAATAATTTGTGTTTGGAACTCTGCACTTTGATGTGGCCCATGGGCTAATCAATAAAGTAAACTAACGTACAGTATCTCACATGAAAGGAAAATGCAGCACTTTCTAAGAAAATACCTTGTGTTTCTTATTAAGATCTCTGAGAGTTCTTGGCTTTTGATCCTCATTTGAGAACAGTGTTCATGATTTTATTTAGAGAAGAAACAATAGAGCTATACTTTAAATTTCTATGTAATTTTGTGCATCTGTTTGACCCTAAATGGTCTCAGCTAAAAAATGCAAACATTGACTCATATGCATATTTCTGTAAATGCATATTCAGTCATGTTCTTCATAAACCATTCACCATTTCAATTTATTTTGTTCTTTATTTAATGCTTATTCTTAAGCCAAATGGTATCACGTGAAGGAGCATATTCAGTCATAGGGCATTAAAAATCCATATCTGGATTGCTACTGAAATTGTATTACATTGTATCTTAATCAACATTTGTACATTGTACTGGTATACACAGGGATGAAGGATTCAGTACAATCTATATTTGGATTGTTATTGAGATGTGGATTATTTATTTTATTGCCTTGCACCTTATCATAATCAACTTTTGTACATTGTACTGATATACATAGGGATGAAAGAGTATAAGAAGAAGCCACATTAAAAATGAGTTACTCAATAAATAAAATATTAGAGGGGGTCGTCATTGCTTAGTAAGACAGCATAGTGGAACATCTTCCAGATTTTTATTTATTTTATTTTATTGTTGGAATCTTGAAGAACCTCGATGCAAGAAACTGCTCTGGGTTTGGAACATTCTCAGCCTGCAAGTGCAAACATCCGTGCTTCTCAGGTGCAAAGAATCAGAACCACATATCTTACTTCAGTTAAGCTGATTTAATTCTTATACCTATAAACAAGAATCTAGTCAACTAACAAGCACTAAATTGGCGCTAAATAAGAGTCAATGGAATTCAAGAGGGATGGACTTAGATCACTTGTGATAATATGATGACTCCAGGCTGATTCCTCTCTTGACTCCACGCTCAGGCTGTTCCTGCTCTTCTTCTATAATACTGGCTTAAAATGTCCTGCCTCCATTGTCAGTGTTTCTGGTGTCTTTGTTTTCAGGCATTGCTTGCCAAAATAATGGATAAAGTCCAATGGAGTCAATAAATCTTGAGATTACTTAGATGCTTTAGGTAATGTCAGTGGCAGGAAGAATTCCTGAGCCCAGGAACATCTCACAATTACAACCTGAGATCCTTGAAGTCAGAGGTCTGCATACAGTTCCCCCACCCCAAGCCTTGCCAGACATTCCCAGGAATAAATAGATAGGATAATGCAATGCATATACATTGTATGTAATGAATTACATTTAGCTTTTGTTTTGATCCTATTCATTTCTCTTTCTTGGTCCTGCTATTTCTATTCTATTCTATTCTATTCTATTCTATTCTATTCTATTCTATTCTACTCTACTCTACTCTACTCTACTCTACTCTACTCTACTCTACTCTACTCTACTCTACTCTACTCCATTCCATTCCATTCCACTCCACTCCACTCCACTCCACTCCACTCCACTCTACTCTATTTTTGGAGTACAATAATCCTCACCTTGGAAAAGTAATTCACCTCTAACAAAAGTGAACCAATGGCCTACCTTAGCTTAAAGAACAGCACTACATTCATCCAAACCATCATAGATGGAGAGGGGGGTGATTTGGCAAGACCAATGTTACAGTGGCTTATGTGCCATTTATTCTCACTGTATTTATGGATTAGGATCCAGATTTAATGCAACCAGGATCATCTGGAGATGAACATTTTTTTTCACAGGATATATTTAATTTGAGCAAAGACACGATGGGCATCAGTTGGTGGTGAACTGGATTGAAGCTGTCCGCCAGATCTATTGTACAATGATGTCCAGTTCTGAAAGTGTTTAACATACTCCTTTGTATCCTTCCTTCCTTCCTTCCTTCCTTCCTTCCCTCCCTCCCTCCCTCCCTCCCTCCCTCCTTCCTTCCTTCCTTCCTTCCTTCCTTCCTTCCTTCCTTCCTTCCTTCCTTCCTTCCTTTCTTCCTTCCCAGTATTCAACAACAAGAAGACACCCAGAGCCAGTGATGGGGAAAATGATGGAATCTAGTTTTTCAGGCACTCAGTCCTTCCCTGAAGCTTTGTCTACAGACAGAGGAGGCCAGGCTGCAAAGCCACATAGGTAAGGACGTGGATTTTTTTTTTTTAAATCGGTGTTTCTTTTGTGAGACAAATGCAAGGCAGATGAACATGGTCACTTAGGAAACATTTGCAGTCTGGAGATATTTAAGAGAACCTCCATTTGTTTGTTAAGCAGGGAGCATGGAGAGTCTTCTCCTATGTCGAAGCCATTATTTCAGCTGTTGGATTGCCCCCTTTCCCTTTTCTATCAAGAGCCTAGACTCAAAGGAGTGTTAAACAAGAGTCACAGGCCAGCTAGGAAGATAATTGTTTCCCAGTTACACAGAGGGGTCTTTCTGCTGCCAATCCTCTTATCAGTTCATAAGGGGCATGCATAAGTGCACCATTGTGACTACTGTCCCTGTCCTATTGTCCCCATTTATTCGTACCTATTTCCTGTATTCTTACTCATGTTTATACTTATACCCATTATCTTGTAAGCGATTGACAAATCAAATAAATAAAATAATAAATAAATAAATAAAGTGAATGACCCACCCACCCAAAGGGAGGCTGCAGAACTGACTTGTGCTGGCAAATACGTTTCAGTGTAAAAAAGAGAAAGGGCGGGTGGGAGTTACTCTGCATTGTGCCTGTAACCAGCAAAGGCTGGTTAAGTGTGGTCTTTCTATTTCTTTCTATTGGCTGATAGGGACTGAGAGCAAAGGAGAGTGGATCCATGTGAGCATATTGGTCATGATGTATCTCTATCTTCATCTCCATCTCTATCTCCATCTCTATGTCTAGCTATCATATCTCACTCGCTCTCATCTCCCTCCTCTCCCTCTCTTTATCTCTCTATTTTTCTAACTATCTAGGCATGCTGTGGTCCATGGAATCTTGAAGAGTTGGAAACAACTTAGCAGCTGAACAACATCTATCTATCTGTCTGTTTATCTATCTATCGATCTATCATCTGTCTGTCTATCTATCATCTAGTTTATATGCTACTCAACTATCAAGCAACTCTGGGCAGCTTGCAATGCCATAAATAACAGTATAAAACAATTACAAGATTAAAAACATTAAACTATTGGACACTGGAACTTAAAAAGAAACATTAAAACTGACAACAAGCCAGAAACAAAGGACCTTATATTGTCAGTCTGTCTGTCTATCTCATCTATCAGAAAATGACCCTTAATTGCATGTTCTTTATGACCACAAGATTTGATTATCAATCAGACAAAGATAATTTTTTTGAGATTCACCAGAAACTCCAAAATAAGTAATGAATGAGTAACCCAGAATTTTTTTTAAAAAAGGCAGAAAGTAGGCAGAATTTGAGAAGACTTGACTGAAAATTGTATAATGTGTGACTTACAGCATCAGCTGATCAATTGTTGGTGAAGTGTGATTCACACATTCAGAAAGTGTCGGATTGAACTGATGTAGCACTTAGATGCAGTGATAGATATGCAAGAATGGGCATTTCAGTGAAAGAAGAGTATTAATTTTACCCTCATGCTATATTTACAGAGAAAATCCATAAAAAGATGTTCTGTTGTTGGCATATTACCTTAGTCCTACACTAGCTGTAAACATAATAGTTCATTTTCCAAATGTTGCTGGATAAATAACATTCAGTTTGGATAATTCCCTCATATACGGTGGTGCAGAAATTGTTGAATCTTAACAGTTGAATTCCCTTCTCAATCTGTGACATTTTAACTAAAATGTACAAAGCCATATATATTCTAAGAAAGTATAGTGAATTAGCTTTGAATATGCTAGCTGCTGCAATGGTATTTTATGAGAAAGTATGCTTAATTCCTTCTGTGGAAGAATGCCTATTTAAGCACACTTTGATGTATAAAATAACTCTGCATCATAAAAGGAGACTTGACACAGAATTTAATTCAAACTGGGAAGCGTTCTGAGTCTTCAATGCATTCAGTGTGTGCATTTGTACCACATCCAAAATTTGACCCAAAGGTGTTTTTTCAAGAGGCAACTGGACTTTTCAACTGGACTTTTCTTTTCCTTGGAGAAGGTTCGCTTTGCATCCAAAGAGCTTCTTCATCTCTGACTGGATGGTGGGGAATGGAAGGATTTATATTCCTTGCAGACAGCTGGTCATTTGCATACTTTAAGAGGAAGGATGTCAAACTGATGGCCTGCAGGCTGGATGCATCATGCGCAGGCCACATCCACCCCATCTCCGCAAATGGAAAAACAACATGGTGAAACATCATGTGATGGCAATGTGACACAACGAGTTTGACACCCATGTTTTAGAGGGGCGTTGAGGCCACCTGGGGATTTATCTGTGTCCTTAGGATCACCTGAGTGGTGCAAATAGCTGGAGAGCCTTCTTGGAACTGGTGGAAGGAGCTGTGTTGTAGTCTGGAGATAGATGAGGTTGTGTCCCTCCCCTTCTGTTGAGAGAGGGCTGCTCAATTTGGACCTAGATGGCTCTATAAATCCTTCCCTTCCCCACCATCCAGTCCGAGCTGGAGAAGCTTCTTGGATGAGAAGCGAAATGTCTTCAAAAGATACAAGAAAGTCCAGTTGCCTCTTGAAAAAGCACCTTTGGGACAAGCATGACCTGGATGATGGAGAATCTCCATAGACACCCAAAATGGAGTTAGTGTCTGCATAAAGTTTATATTTTGTTTTTACAGGATTCTTAAATTAAAACAGACTTTTTATGAGTATGGACAGAATTTATTATCCTTCAGAAATTTATTTTATGAAATATACTGTGTGCCATTCGTGATTCCTGATATTTATCCATTGCTTAGGTAAATTCCAGTCTTTTAAAATGACGCAATGTTCACAATCAGTTAATGATATTGTGAAATATTGTAGTTTCTACATGTGTAAGCTCCTTGTTTACTTATTCATTTGTTTTCTACCTTTTACCCAGTCCTTTTGAGAGTAAAAATGAGAAGCTTTTTTTTAAAAAAAAATAGAATCATTAAATTTGAACTCTTAACAAAGTTTAGTGAAAGAAATACATTTTTAGCATTTTGATAAATCATGGGAGCCTGGGGAAAACATATGCCTCTTAGGATCATATTCTTTACACCAGTTGGTTGAGTTTCTAGCAATGGAAGCCTCTTGGAAGGACATGATGATGATATAAACCACAGGAAAGGTCTTTGTGGAAGAAGCTGCCAGGTTTGAGCTTTAACAGTTAATATTAAACACATTAAATTGTGCCTGGAGGCAATTTGGAGATAGTGCAGTCTCTTTCTTTCTTTCTTTCTTTCTTTCTTTCTTTCTTTCTTTCTTTC